GTCGGAAATTCTTTCAGCTGTTCAAATCCTTTTTCAAATTTGTTCTAGCTATTATGGGCACAATTCTATCGTAATAAACAAAAAAAGTGGTCCATATATGGACCACCGCCCGTCAAAGGGTTAAAAAGTGCTGTTGATTATTTTAAAAATTTATTTCTGGAAAAAAAACTGTGGGTAGTTCGAGATCATAAAAAAGTAGAATGATATGTTTTATGTTATTTCTTTTGTTGAAAGAAGATATTTATGTTCGTTTTGTGTATGTCATAAAAAAAGGTTTCTCTCTTTGAGATGCTGATACGGAAATTGTGTAGTAGTGAAGTTTTTTGATGACCAACACTTTTACTGCAACTTTTCGAGGCAGTAAATTGAATCTGATAAAGTAAGAACTCAATGGTGGGATTTTTGATAACATTCTGACTTTCATTTACGGATGATGTACAGCTTGTTTTATTTTCCTACTAGATGTGTTGCTTGACACTCTCAGTTGATATGTGCGCTTAGGAAAATATGTGTGCGGAAGAAGAAAGAAAATCTACTTTGTTCCAATTACTCGTTAATTATAATCTTTCAAACTAACAACTGAATTCTTCAAACGTTTTAGATTATTTCCGAGCGGTAAGCAAAAGCTTATCAATGGTTTTACTTTCATCTTTAATTTTTTGTCTCTTTTTAGAGTATGTCATCAAAAGAAGATGGTTTATTTAAAAATGTATGTCATTACTCACAATTTTGTAAGTTGATATGAGGAAGTAATCGCTTTTAATGGAACATGCATTATTTTTTACTTGCAAAATGAAGAAATATTTCACACTGATTTTTGTCTAAGTACGGAAAAAAAAGCTAGTTCGAATCTAGCTGCAGTGAAACATATAAAAATTTCATTTAGCTGTATTTGCCTTGAATCTAGCATCAAGTGAGTGCAAACAGATGTTGTGGATTAATCAGACAGTGAATTATCCGATGGATCGGTCAATTCAGCGGCAGATTCAACTAGAATACAAGTCAGTCAGCATCCAGCTATTTCCGGAGATAGAGTTTCTCGCTTACTTAGTGTTACTTGGATATTTGAGTTTTCATTGATCAGCCTCAATCTCGATGTCTGCTTAAACGATAGTCTGTGTAAAACTTCAAGTATTCTGTGTATGATTAGTAAAGAAGAATCTTTTCTTCATTGTGAATATTAAAAAACCTTTTTGTTTTTGCAAAAAATGTTAGACTACATTTTATATATTCACCTTCGAAAATTTTTGATCTGCAAATAATTCATTGAACTTCGAGTCTTCTAACGATAACAGCGTTAAATTTTTATAGAAATTTATCGTATCATTTTAATTTATAGATTTCGTTTCGATTGCCTCAGTATTGGGTACAGGAATATTGGGTAAGTTCAATTCATAGTTAATAAATTTCTTTTTATGAACTTCTCTTCTCAATTATTTTCATATTTAACATTAGTTGTATTTATTGTAGGCCTTCCTGTGACATTATCTGAATCTGGCTTTAAACCATTTGTCATTTCATTTTTGATATGTTACATAGTTCAGGTAAGAACTACATATCTGCTAAATTTAGTGTATGTCTGCAATATATTTAATTGGTTTATTTAGGTTTTGACAATTTTTTTCTTTACCGAAGTACTGCAAAAAGCTTATTGTAAAAATGTTGAAATTTTAGAAACAGTACGTATTGATTATTTCTTTTACAGAACTCCAAGAAGACGACTTAGTTTTACATAACGGATACAAGCGAACCGCTGCCATGTACAACTTTCAAAATTTGTTCAATATTTTATTTTGCTTAGAGTGACAAAGATAATGTACCAATTCATACTGAGAAAAATGAAACAGTTAGCTATGGTTCAGATTATGACTTAGCATCAAAAGCAGGTAACAACCGTTTGTAATTTTTCTGTTAGCGTAATAAAAAGAGTTATTTTCGGATGTTGCTCGTTGAGTTTTATTTTCTATTTCGGTAAAAACTTAGCGTTAAATTGTCAAAAATTTTTTGTCTTTGTTATCTAAGACAAATTATATTCAAAATACCTTTACTCACCTACTATTGGTATCAAATTAATCCGTTTATGCTCAAGTTTTTTCTATCAATTAAAATTAAAATTGTATGCTTAAAATATTAACTAGACATATTTAAAAATCTAGTTTTTTAAGTATTCGTCACTTAACATGTGTATCTCTAAGGATGCAGTGGGCATAAACGGGTTAACTCGTTTATTAAAGAATGGTGATATAGAAAACGTATTGCCATATACATAAAGCAAGTATTTGTTGTGAAGTAAATGATATCAATATCTTGCTATCGCTGTTGATGCACTAAATTTCAGAACATTATGAGCACCATGAAATTTTATCTTAAAATACACTAATCTTTATTATAAACAAGTCTGACTGCATATAACGTGAAACCTCTTGAGTCCAATCAATAATAATTCAACTTACAAAGAAACGTTTCTGCATGTCATCCTCCATTTTTAATGATATATATGCTAATTGAGAGAGGATAGTGTCCTAGTAACAAGCCTAAAAGGATTTGGGCCCATGTCTCTTATCAATCTTTTAGTTAAAAAGTTATCAATCGTTTTGCTTTGTAGAAATATTATAACTCCTCAAACATAGCGACTTAAGAACTGAAATTTCTTTCTGTACTTCTGCTGATAGTCTACTAATATCACAGAAATTTTCAGCTTTCTAACTTTCATGGGCGAAAAGTTATGGACTTTTTCCTTTCTTCATGAGATAAAATATCGTTGTGTGAAAAAATAACTCATTATGGAAAACATGATTTTCCTTAAAGAAAGGAAAAAGTCCATAACTTTCTGTAATATTAGTAGACTATCAGCAGAATTACAGAAAAAATTTTTAGTTCTTAAGTCGCTATGTTTGAGGAGTTATAATATTTCTAGTGTAACTGCGGCACCTGTGGAGCATGGACAACAAAACAAAAAGATTGATAACTTTTGAAAGAAGAGACATGGGCCCAAATTCTTCTAGGCTTGTTACTAGGACATGATACTCTCTCAATTGCCATATATATCATTAGAAACGGAGGATGACATGCGGAAACGTTCCTTCATTAGAAATAAATTTCAGAGTGATAAACTCTCTCGACATGTATCTCTTTCAGAAATATCCCGTACATGAATAATGTTATAAGTGAATATAGCTCTTATTTTTCTGTTTGATTGTCTTCGATAATATAGGTAAACAAACATTTTCATCAAGTACCATTGATAATATTGACTATTTTAATTGAAATAAGTTTTAGGGTTTAATATGTGTCGATGATTGTTTGTATTTATAAGAAATTTCATTAAATTTTGTATAAGACATCGTGTTATTATTAAATATTATCTCTTTGACATATTGATGAAGATTTTTCGTTAGAAGTTGTTTTTTTTGTTTTGTTTCAGAATTTAATCTGACAATGTGCGGAGATATGCATTTTTCTATATTCATGGAGGACGCCAGAATTCTCGCAGACTTAAGCATTTAACAACAGAATGGCATACAGAATGAATTTCATCCGGAAACATTAGTAATACAACTTGTTTATTAGCACTCTAACTTCTAAATGTTCTGTTTGTCCTTGATTATCAAAAGAAATGAGAATAATTGATGGTTCATTGTCATCTGTGTTGATTTTATTTCATTGTAGATCCTATCGTCATCATTTCCAAACATTAGTAGCTCTTATGCTAGATACTGGTTTACCTTGTTTTCGTGGTCATACATTAGAACAATTGAATGCCAGATTTAAACCGGATGCAAGTGAAGCAGATGCTGGTCGTTATATGCCTGATGTTATTAACCGTTGTGCTCGTAGTTTAAGAACAAGACTCTATGATATTGTACAATGGTATCAAAATAAAATACCTTATTGATCTCTTTTTTTCCCCCTGTGTTTTAGTATAAATGTCATATTTTGATCTTTTCTTCTTCATTTGTATATTTAAGATCGTGTACGTACGAGTCTTTTTCCTAAGCAATTTTATTTTTAATGCATAATAACACATCTTGAAAAATATCGCTTTTTACGTTGTTTCTTTTTGTAAAAGAGTTTTTTCTCTTTTTTTTCTGAAATGTGGTGAATGTGTATGTAGTATATAAGCATAATTTAAGCTTTTCTATTTATATGAAAAGAGAAAAGAAAAATATAATAAACAGTGATCTACTATTGCAAAAATAGAATGATTAAGTGAAACATCAAGTATTACTCTGATACTGTTGAATGAACTGGGCATAAAAATAAAATAATGCATGATCTAACATTGTTCTATTCAATACTTATTATCAATTTTTCAACTGCTTTGTCAAAGCTGTTACGGTTAACAGATCTCTTGTACTTTCTTTTTACAAAATTTATTTTAATATTGATCATCAAATAACAATTCTATTTACCTTATTTATTGAAATATTTTCTATTGTGTAAAAAACAACAGAACAACACACATGCACATATAATGAGAAAGAGCAAATAGCAACAACAGTTAAGCAAAATAATAAGAACACCGATCAATTAAGATGCGCACAAAAAAAAATCATTATTAGAGTTAAATATAGTTTTTAATTTTGATTTTCAAGATATTATATAACGCATTGCTGTTCGTTCATGTTTTAAGTTGAGCGGAAGATCGATATATTTCACAAAAGTCATGTGTGTGTATAAGACCGAAACAGTCAATTGCGCATTGTTCACCGATCATTATTTTTGAAAAATTTTACCACATTGAAATCAAAATATGCCCAAATTGAATCCAGTTATTTATAAATGTACACACATATAGTAGAACAACAAACACAAGAAAATAGTTGAATAAATAAATAAATAAAAATAGTTTTGATCATACAGAGAAATACAAACAAAGCTCCAAGCGTCACAGTCATGACTATATTTATATATTATAACACAATGAAATGAACTTGCTAAGCTTTTCTATTCTCATTAATGTTCTACATTCAAAACGGCTAAACTTGGGATATTATAATTAGAAGAAGAAAAAAAAAAATTACTTCCTTGTTGATTTGACTGTTTTAGATACCCATTCTAAACCATCCTAGAAAAGAAATGAGAAAAAAATACGTAAAACATGTTGACTAAGATGTATGAGTGAAATTTTTTCTTGTTTTTTAAATTAAATTGATTGATTCTAACAATCCTACGTTGACCTATGTCATGCATGATGTCAAAATAGAAACACTAGATGAGAGAAGTGCCGTTACTAAAATATGTTATATCTAATGTATACCTTTACACCTTCTTGTGTATATGCAGAACATCCTTGAATTTGCCATGATCTATCTCGTATTGTATGTAATGCTAATCCATCTGTAATCTCAGAGGATGTTGCAGCATTTAATAAATCTTGTTTATTAGCAAATACAAGTAATGGTACATTCACCAATTTTTCTTCTTCTAATAGTTCAGATAATTCCTTAATAGATCAATATAAAATTTCGTTCAAATGTTTTTCAATATGTCGTCGTGTGATAGGATATGGACGCAAGTGAAAGAATGTGCATGTTTTCGGTATTTTTTTTGAAGAAAATATACTGAATGAAACTTTTGGATTTAAATAAGGATCAAATGGGATTGGATTTTATTTCCTATTGTCATTTTTACATGATCTATCAGAATTAGTGAGATATTTACTAATCTACATTGTAAAAGGTGCTACTTTCACGAATATCCCTTATTTAAATATAAAATATTCCATTCAATGAATTTTTTTTCTTCAGAAACGAGGCCCATGAAATAAGCACATTTTTTTAATTTCATTTGCACCCAGACTAATGAGACCTACTAGACTGGTTTCTTCAAAACGTTTTCTGTCGGCACTATCAATTACGTAGATCTAGAAAAGAATATTCATTTTAAACAGGAAATCGTTGACAATCTTAACTTACCAACACGTCAGTATTTTCAAAATAATTTCGCCAATAAGGGCGAATTTTTCGCTGACCACCTATAAGAAGAGTTTAAAAATATAGAATAAAACCCTGTTAAAAGAAGAACTTACCAATATCCCACACGTTCAATTTAAACCCATTTGATACTACACTTTTGATATTGAATTAAAATACAACAACAAATGAAAAATATGTAACGTTTTTTTTAAATAAAACTTCTTACTTTTCCAGCGTTGTCTAAACCAAGTAATAAAATTCTCAATTCATCTTGAGGATTCGAACGTAGTTTTCTTAATAAACTAAGCAGACCCTAAGAATTGAAAGATAAATACATTGAAAAAATTCAAGAGAATCGAAAAATAATGTATATATGCTTTCTCAACATCGTTCGTGTTTTAACTTTGATTCTCGAAAAACTTTCGGTTATTGACTTGATCATAATAAAATTAACAAAAAGTAAGAAAAGATACATACCATTTTCTTTTAAGTAACGCTGCTAATTCTCAAATGAAGCTTGTTCTTGGATCTACAAAAATTTTAAGTTTAAACGATGATTATAAACACTAATGTGAAAAGTGAATAAAGAAATTTAAAAATCAAATACTTTTCACCGTTTGGGTAGTACTCTTCTTATAGAGATTCTTCGAAAGCTAGTGAAAGATACGACGAATCAACTGAAGAGCATTTTTTTTCACAAAAATACCGATGACCTTTTACAAAATGAAAAAGTGCAATATCTTAACAACTCTTTCAAAATGAAAAATTTTAATAAAAAAACCATAAAGAGATCACATCTGGTTTGTGATGATAGCAAGTTATCAATCTTTCCCCGGTACTTCTACAAAAAAATAAATGTTGCTTCTGAGCGAACATATGCACATAATATGTTTTTTCCATTAGCAGATTCAACTTCAGGTTCTTCGGTTCCTAGAAAATCCGGTGAAGCAAACCGACATCTGTCTCAGTACTACAGAAAGAGTTTCCTTAGCTTTTTTTCTCTCTGACTCAGCAGATATTTCCACCAACTCTTTGAATATTTTCTCTCTCGTGGTTAAAAAAGAATTTTGTATTTTTCTCTCTTGTGATTGGCTTATCCATGGAATATCTGACAGCCATTTTTCCGTATTTTGCGCACACAGAGACAGACAGATACCCTAGTGAAATCAAAACACACACACACACAGACAACCATTTTGTAAGACTCTAGACTAAAGTCAAGGGAACAACACATGTACTGTACCGTACAATACACGGTATAGACAAGACAAGTAGGACGAAAAGCGACCAAAAACATTTAAAAACACAGTGATCTGTATCGTCGGATAGATGAATCGACTGACACTTCTACTTTGTCTTTCTACTTCTAAGGTTCATAACACAAATTGTCATTCTGCTCCTTTTATTTCAGAGATTCATTTTCTATCAATGGTCACTACAGCGGATCCATCTGCCGATGTTATGAATAATAATAATAATAATAATAACACAAACAGTCATACCTCAGCATCGAATAGTGGTGCAAATAAAGATACCGGTTTTGAATGTAATATTTGCTTAGAAACAGCACATGATGCTGTTGTTTCTATGTGTGGACATTTGTTTTGTTGGCCGTGTTTACATCAATGGTATATATTTCTCATAGTCAAGTATGTAGATTTATATTAATTGTTTTACATTTTGCTTAAGGATTGAAACCAGGATAAATAATCCAACATGTCCTGTATGTAAAGCTGTTATATCAAAAGAGAAAGTAGTACCACTTTATGGTCGTAATGCACCTCAAAAAGATCCTAGGTACGATTTGGCAGTCAATTAACAATATCTATTGTTCAATTTAATCAATTCATTTTCTAGAGAAAATATTCCTCCCAGACCATCTGGACAACGTCAAGAACCAAGACGAAATAGAGTATAAACTAATTTCTTTTCTTTAATACAAGTTATCTTTTCAGTTTTTTCCATCCAATTTAACGCAGGTATTCAAGTTTTATATTCTAAACTCGAAACGCAAAAAGTCAGTTTATACAAATCGAACATTGCTAAACTAAGTTCATTGGTTCTAGCCTATAAGAACGATTGGAATCATCGAGATGATTGTACAACTTCAGTGTTCATTTGTTTTTTCATTTGTTTTATTTTTTTAGTCCTTTATTATTGTTTTATTTTGTTTTTGAAGAGTTTTGGTTTGGGAGATGGTGTAAACTTTCAAATGTCATTTGGTGTAGGTGCATTTCCATTTGGGCTGTTTACAACATTTAATTTAAATAATAGTGATGAACAACCTCAAGCACGTATGGGCTTCATGATTAAAGTTTTCAGATATAATCTGTTGATATATATTTTGCTTCTTTTAGCTGCAGCTGGTACACCCGAACGAGCACATCATGAATTTTTGTCTCGAGTTATTCTTGTTATGGCTTTAATTTTACTTCTTTGTATCATATTCTTTTGATAAATTCTCATTTTAATACTTATTTATGATTTCAACTACCAACTATTTTCAAGTTTATTTTTGCTCAATGTACAAATCATTTTTCTTCACATCTACTATAGAGTTTTCAGAAATTTTTATAATTGTGCCTTTATTTACATATGTATATATTTTAGCTGATTGTTAATAAGCAAAAATTTATCGGTAAAGTAGATATTCGTATTGAATAGTAGGTTAAGGTACCTGTATTGAGAACAGTCGTTTCACTAATTCACTAATTTGTTTATAATTACAATTAGTGAGAAAGTCTGAAAAAAAACTAAACTTTTTATGACCACATAGAGTACAGCTGAATGACAAACATCAGGTAGTCTCCAGATTATAAAACAGTTAGTTTTGCATGTAATTGTACTACAATTCGTTTTGCTAAGATCACATCATTATTAACAAATTGAGAACCTCTTATAGTTAGCTTATAGTGTATTTAAATTAAACTGCTATTAACAAAATCGGAAGAATTTGTTTACATATTATGCATGTAAGAATTTATCGCATCTATTTTGCACTTTTTTGCGTATTTCTGCAAAAGAGAATATTTTTCATCAAAACGTGTTCGTATTACACACGATTACATAACGCTGTTGAGAGCGTGTAATAATACGTTACTTACAGGTTTTTTTTCACACATTTATGCATTAAAAATCAGAAGAACTCGCGGACTGTAGCAGAAATTATACTGGCATATTAAACGCGCGATGTATTACATTAAGTTATTTATGATACACACGGATCATGTAATTACATGCGTAAGGGTTAGCGATACAATGCGGTTGCGAGCACTCAACTTTCTATATGGGATATTATAAGGCGGAAAGTGTATACAATGGATTGAGATAGTTAGAGATTGCCCGGTAATTTGATAAAAAATTAATTTTTTTAAAAAGAATATATCAAAATTGGGATACTAATGTTGTAACATAAATGCATAATTTTTGCAATAATTTTTCTAACATTGAATAATTTGCGCTGCTTGATAGTTTTTGCAGTACAGCATAATATTAACGCTTATTCAAATCTATTGTAGAGGATTTTCAATAAATGTTAAAATTTTAATATGAGAGAATATATTAAAAAGTAGAGCATTTATCGAACCAGCGAATCTCAGGTCATGAAATTTTCTTAAATAATAGATTTAAATGGGAGCGGGCGTTCGAACCACAAGATTTTCTATAAATCTACACAAATCAAAGATGCATTTGTCATCGTTTAACGATTGTACGAGACTTTTTAAGATGTCTAACTTTAAAATGAATGAAAATATAGGTTTTCATTCATGGAGCCTCCGAATACAAAAGAAAACAATATATTTTTTGTAGATAAAGAAAATTTTTGTGTATAAACTTCTGTACTTGAATATACTTGCACAGTCTTTTGATCCAAACATAGTCTAAGACACGAAATTCTCTTTCTTATGCAGGAACTTTCTTCAAGTACGTACAGTGAATATTTTAACTTTCATTTCTGTTTTATAACGACTATTGTCGTGTTAATAAGATTGTCACAATAAATGTTAACTACAATTTTGTTTGGGAATTCTTTAATTCAAAAAATTTTTTTCTAGCTTTAATTAGTTGATGACGAATTTTTGTACTCTATGTATTTATATATATGTATTTTTTATGTTTTCATTTAATATATACTATCATTTTTTTTTTAAATATAAAACAGTTTATTGTGCCAAAAATGGTTGACAAAGTAAAAAGAAATTACTATCTGCAGAAAAAGTACATTGTTACTCTGATAATAAAAAAGACCGAAATAATACATAGTGGCAAAAAAAGTTCAAATATCTAATAATAAAAAAGGCTCGTATTATAGATTTTGTTTTCTCCTATTTATATACACATATTCTGTTGTTGTTGTTTTTTTTGTTTTTTTTATAACAATAGCATTAGAGAAGTTGCTTCAATACTTTAAAAACCAGAGATTTTTGACAAAAGTTAAGGAGGTTGAAGAAAATACTTATATACAAACATACATAACAGCGAAGGAGAATTTTTGTAGTACCCGTATTGCGGAGCGTGGTTTGATATAAAATTTATTATATCAATTTTAGAATGTTTCGCATGTAGAGAGAGACGTTTTAAAAATCTGTTGTTTTTGCGCAAACCTG